GGTAGCGAGGGAAAGAGAGAGAGAGAGGGAGGAGATACCATACTTTGTGGCTTTGGCTTTCCCCTGTGATGGTCCCGAGGATCAACGTCCGCGTAACCCGGTTTCTAACGGTTGTCCAGTCAAACTCTTAGATACGGCTGCCTGTAGCCTGATGAATGAATCACAGCCTGGTTGATCATGTATCCTTCGGAGGTGTTTGTCGAATTCTTTTTTGAACACTGTGAGAGGTAGGCCGGTTATGCCCCATAGGGAAAGAGAAATGAGAGAAAGGGAGAGAGAGTTAGGACTGGGAGAGAGGGGAAGGGGGGGGATGAGAGACCTGGGCACAGCCGGATTTCCCTTCCAGTTAACGATATCGCAGTGATTTAAACAAAAAATGTTATTATCATGTATACATAAATGGCAGCAGTTTATTTCACAATGTTAAAGCCTCACAGGGTCCACTGTGGTAGCCAGATATCCGGTTGGTATGTTGACCTCACGCTTGGTGTATATGGTTGCCTCAAGTTTGTACATGTTGCATATGGTTGCCTCAAGTTTGTACATGTTGCATACGGTTGCCTCAAGTTTGTACATGTTGCATACGGTTGCCTCAAGTTTGTACATGTTGCATACGGTTGCCTCAAGTTTGTACATGTTGCATACGGTTGCCTCAAGTTTGTACATGTTGCATACGGTTGCCTCAAGTTTGTACATGTTGCATATGGTTGCCTCAAGTTTGTACATGTTGCATACGGTTGCCTCAAGTTTGTACATGTTGCATACGGTTGCCTCAAGTTTGTACATGTTGCATACGGTTGCCTCAAGTTTGTACATGTTGCATACGGTTGCCTCAAGTTTGTACATGTTACATACGGTTGCCTCAAGTTTGTACATGTTACATACGGTTGCCTCAAGTTTGTACATGTTACATACGGTTGCCTCAAGTTTGTACATGTTGCATACGGTTGCCTCAAGTTTGTACATGTTGCATACGGTTGCCTCAAGTTTGTACATGTTACATACGGTTGCCTCAAGTTTGTACATGTTGCAGGACTGCTCAGAGGAATATGACTTGTGTATGAACTAACGGCATATATCAGAGTATACGTAATATTTTATACTCTGCGTCTAAAAATACTTTTGAAGTCAAGTGATGCTAGATAGTGTTATCTGTTTTAGTTTAGTCACGAAGTATCTCCAGCGCAGAGTATTTCCATGGTTCACATGTTACAGGATTTTACAGGAGATGTAACAAACAACGAAATTTCATTTATTCATCTGTAACGAACTCTGTAATCTGTATCTTATAAATGCTGCGACTTGCTTAGCTAAACGAATATTGAGGGTCAGTTCCTGAGCCCATTTTGTGCCTTTGTAACCATCTCCACTTCGTCTTGTGATAGGCTTGGAAGGGAGGGGTTTTAAACTAACAAACTATAGCAACAAACAGTCCTCAGTTGGTCAAAACGGCGTAGTATGATGACAACGTTCAATACCTTTGCTTCCCTGCGTCCCATCCCGATTCCTTATCCTGACCCCTTCCAAGTGCTATATAGTCGTAATGGCTTGCCGCTTTCTCCTGATAGTTCCCTTCCCTTTGATGCAAGTTCAGCTTTGAGCAAATTGATACTCTTATTAGTTTTTTCACTATATACAAACTATAGTTATTATATGTACAATACCAATCAAAATTATTTCTTTTAGGTTTCAATATATGCAAAATTGTATCGATAATAATAGAATAGCATGCATATACATATTCAGGTCGTGGGTTACCACAGATTAATGCAACGTGCGCTAGAATCTTTTATTGTTTATTCTTGTTTTGTTCTGATAACATGATTGCACCATGTTCCAACATGGCTGAGAGTGAGAGTTGTTGTTTATTGTGAATGTCAGGTGAGAGCCGTTGAGAATGTGTAAAGGCAACCACAGTTCCGTTAATGTTTCGCTGGCTTAGGCTAGTGAGCGCGCACCTTTGCTGACGTATGGATATTGCGCCATGTTTTGAAGTAATAAAAATTCGTTTTGTCGGGGCAGGCAGCCTGTATATATATTGTATATATTTTAGGCTTATAGGGAGGGGTCCCCGCTAAAGGCCGAACAACTGACCCTTTCCAGGATGCAACCCCACAACCGTTAACTAACTCCCAGGTACTTATTTGCTGTTAGGCGAAAGGAAACGTGCCCAGCCATTTGTTGCCACCTGTCTTCAGGCTAGGCTCGTATAGGCGGCGGCAAAACCCAAATACACATTCATAAATTTTAACATACTGCGTTTTCAAAATTTGTAGTTTCTCAAATATAAGTTAATTAATTTTATTATATCTATAATGTGCTGAATAGTTAGGCCTAGCTTAGGTTAAGTTAGGTGGTTAGGTTCTGTTGGCAATTATTGGTATTTGCATTAAGTGGATGAAGCATGTAAAGAGTGTGGGATTCGAGCAGAGGGCATGAACGAAGCACTACTCGAAAAAAAATGCATACGTCATCAGTTGTGTGTCCTGTGATAAGTGTTTTTCTAATTCACAAACACGGGGGTTTGGTACTGGATTAACGAGCATTTAGCATTTGTTGAATTATACAAATTTTGAACAGGCAGTATATTGAAATTGGTTGTGTGTTTAGGTTCAAGCCGCCGCCTCGACGAATCTAGCCTGAGGACAGGTTGCATTTCCACCACAATATTATCAGTCATCAATGGTTTCCGCACCGCATTTTTGTTTTCATTTGGTAGTTATTAACGAATTTTTTTCGTGAACACAAGCAGCAGATTTTAGACAGTTATGGTTTTCTTGGTTAAAAGAATCAACGGTTACAAAACCCTGCCCGAAACGCTGCGCGTACTAGTGGCTTTACAAGATTGTAATTACTATCCTATGTATCCTCACAATCCCAATGTACCTTCTTGTATATATATAAATAAATAAATAAATAAATAAATAAACGAAGACAGCGGTGTACAGAAGTAGGCGGCGCCTACATAATTAAGAGTGGGATCATCCTTGGTGGATCGTCGTCACCCATAAATAAACAACTGGAAATGTCAACGGTGTCTAGGCGATACTAAAAATGTGTTTAAAGAACTTAAGAACAATTATGCCAGGAAGGAATGACTAGTATGTAATCCTTAACTGTTCCCCTCCCCTATTCACTCTATAGTAATTTAATTGGGTACCATTGTTAACCGATTGACTGTGAGAAAGGAAAGCTCTCGGCTTGCTAACAGGAGTCAAAAGGCGTTTGGAAGAAAAACTCGCCTTTGGTATGGGGTACTTATTTATTAATTAATATTTAATTAAATTTACATATGATAATTTCTTAATTGTTAATAATTACAATTAGTTTTATACATAGCTTAGTTAATTCATGTACCTAGCAAACGTACATTCTTCCTGTAACTCATTTATCATGGTCTTAATTAATTATGTGTTAGATGAGTTACCTAAGTTAACAAAGCTATGTACACTAAGGCTACTGCCATAAGTGGAAGCCTATCACTTTGGGGGGTTCCACGGCAGCTGGCCTAGCGGATGGGGGTGCTCCAGTGGAACCCCCATCCACTGTGGGCCACTTGAGCACTTGAGGGCCACTAGAGGGCGACTGTGGGCCTCTAGAGTAGCCCACACCTCAACCCCTATGTCCTGTGTGTGGTGCGGGCAGCAACAGGGAATGAGGGAGGCGGGGTGCCAGCTGCACACTATAAGTACCCCACATTGTGCGCGCACAGCAGTTACAGCCCCGCTCCTGTGCCAGGCAAGTCCACTACGGGCTCACCATAGCCCGTGCTGCTTTGAAACTTTTGTTCTAAGTAGCTGAATCTAAAACGACAACAACAGCGCGCACAGCCCATGCTACTTGATTGCCAGACGTTTTTCTCCCTTCAGAAATCTTTCCGCTTTTCAAAACAGGTCCATTTCTTTCAACCACTTTTGTTAAAATAACTAAATAAAAGACCTGTAATAGAAGGCTTACTTATTATTTCTTGTATTGGCAGTGGTAATATACAAAATAATAATGGACTGGAGTAGTTATGGTTGTGATCTGTGGAAGGGGCGTATTGCGAGTTTTTGGGGCGAGAGTGGAAACTGCGCAGGTCGCGGCCCCACTTTCTCGTCGCGCGCGTTCACGCAAGCGCACCTTGTCAAAAACCTTTCCGCAGCTTCAGTTGCAAATTACTAGCAACTGCAGTTGCAACAATTCCTTGCAACTTACAGTTGCAAATATTCTATTATTAATATTTAAATTTAATAAAAAGATATATCGCATATGGTGTTTTTGTTTCACGCAACGCCCAAAACGTTCATTTATCATGCACCCCATACACACCCTGTGGGCAGTAGTGGGAAAGATTGCAGGGAAACATAATGGGCGCAGAAACTGCACCACAAAATTGATTTAGCTAAGCAAGTTACATAGTTTAACATAGTACCGCTAGATGGTTTCGATCCCTGGGTGGGACAGGAATGGTTGGGCACGTTTCCTTTCAGCTGATGCCGCTTTTTACCTAACAGTAAACAGTTACCTAGGAATTAGGCACCTATTGTGGGTTGCATCTTGGGGAAAGATCACTAGATTATCTACGGTGGGGAGGGGCCTCGTTAAACCTATAATAATAATTGTATTTACAAAAAGGTACAGTGGGTTTGTGAGATTACATAAGATTGGTATTTTTACATTCTTGCAAAGCCACCTAATTTCAGGTTTCTTTCCCCCGAAAACGGGAATTATGTACAATTAAGTACATTTAAGTACTAGAATTAAGTACAGGTAATTCCCGACAACAGGAATTAATATACAGTATATGAATAAGTTTGGTTGGGTATACTGTATGTTGGAATTTCCTTACATGGGCCAACAGCCTTTCTACACTCCCTTTACTCTTATGTTTCTTTTAATATTTTACTAAGTAAGTACTACTGTAATATCAAAATAAATAACATTCGATGTGCTAATTAGTTTACAGTAGTTTCTATACTGTGATTGTATTTGCTGTTTCTTTTAATTTTGAATTTCAGTGTTGCTGCGCCAATATGATATGGTTTATCGGTTTCCTAATGTCTAGGACAGGAAGCCTATTAGGGTTATCGAGGTCCTCCAACGACTGACCTACTGGATTCATCCCACAACAGTTGCCTAAGGCTGTTAGGTAAACAGATGTGTCAGGTACAAGGAAATGAGCCTGACGTCTTAGCAAAGTATTGTACGGTTTTAAAATTATCATATAGATAATTAATGTGCAATGTTGCCATTATTTATGCAATACTGTACTGTACTATTGGCTATTAGCAATATCATATGGAATTAAGCATTTGTCTAAAGTGTGGTACCAATATCTTATGACGGACTGTATTGTTACTTTTGCTCATTATCAATATATATATATATATATATATATATATATATATATATATATATATATATATATATATATATATATATATATATATATATATATACATATACACATATATATATACATACACATAGGGTTTATATTTAAGGTACATTGGGTTTATGAGAGTACATAGCATTGATGATTTTACATTCTTGTAAAGCCACTAGCACGCATAGCGTTTCAGGCAGTTCAATTGCTAAGTGATTTTATTTTCCCATTTTATATTACATGTAATCCTGCTATGTAATTAGTTAATTTGTGTGTGGGTGGCTACCTAACTTGTTAAAGGGTAGTTAAAGTGTATATGAGTGGGATTGGGTGGTTATAAATAGGAGCTGCCTCGTATGGGCCAACAGGCCTTCTGCAGTTACCTTTATTCTTCTGTTCTTAAAGCTAATATATGTATGGATTTCCTGCAGGGTAACCCAGCTTCTCCTGTTGCTGCTGCAGCAACCGCCGCAGCGGAGCCTCTTGCTGACCATCGGCATTACAAGGGAAAGCTGGAATGTTCATTACTGGTCCAGCAGCTGCCTGAGGTTGGTCTAATCTACTAGTTGGAGAGGCAAGCCAAATTATTTTTCATACAAAAAAAAAACAGCTTAATTATTGGTAATATCTTTGCTATTTTTATTATTTTATAAACACAAATTTAAAAGTTGATTTAATGTTAACAACTGTCTAAAACACTTGTATATTAATACATGAAATCACTTGTCAATAAATTCAATTGTGTACAGTTAGCTTCTATAAACAAAATTATGACATGTTAAATAAAAGTCACTACTTAATTACAGTAGTAATTATTTGGTTACTCTCTGCTTATAATATTGTCAATGGTGAGAAATTAACAATAAATATTGCTATTGTAACTTTATGAAAAGGGTATGTTTGTACAGGTATTGAATACTGATATTTGAAACCTTGTTAGGTGCAGTCACGGATACGATTTATTTAGTCATAATTTTTTTCATCCTTGAGAGTTCCTTTCAATATCTTAGGAACACCTCATCATGTTGACTTGCACCAGAAATATGGCTGGTACAGTAATTTACTTATAAAGCCCTGCTAGCCCTGTAGCAGCTACAGTATTTTTTGTAATATCAACAGAATACTTTAGAACATAAGAATCAAGAAAGCTGCAGAAGACCTATTGGTCCATACAAGGCAGCTCCTATTTATATCCACCTAAACTCTTTCATATATATGTCTAACCTACGCTTGAAACTATCATGGGATACCTCGTCTATTCGGTAATTAGTTCCACAAATCAACAACACTGTTACCGAACCAGTATTTACCCAGGTCTTTCCTAAATCTTAACCTTTTACTTCATTAATGTATTGTTGTAAAATCTAAATTATGTATGATTGTAAAACTGTGTATCTACATTATGTATGATTGTAAAACTGTGTATTCCTTTACTGATTGGCATTTTATGGGTGACCTTTGAGAGATCATGCTTTAAAGTCGGAGGGGGGTGAACACAGTTTAATCACAAGTAAGATTATTTCACCTCCTTTACCATCTTTCCTCGTTCTCTCCTCTCTCACTATCTCACGTGCGAACACTCACCTGGAACTAAGAACAAGAGGTCATAGATTTAAGCTACGGAAACAAAGATGCCAAAAAATATTTGAAACTTTATATTTGCAAACAGAGTGGTAGACGGAGGTAGCAAATTAAGTGAGAAGGTGGTGGAGGCAAAAGCCATCAGTAGTTTAAAAATGTTATGTGACAGAGTGCTGGGAAGATGGGACACCATGAGCATAGCTCTCATCCTATAACTACACTTAGGTACTGTAAATACATTTAAATATATAAAATGTATATATATATATATATATATATATATATATATATATATATATATATATATATATATATATATATATATATATATATATATATATATATATATATATATATATATATATATATATATATCTCGCTCTCTCTCTCTATCTCGCTCTCTCTCTCTCTCTCTCTCTCTCTCTCTCTCTCTCTCTCTCTCTCTCTCTCTCTCTCTCTCTCTCTCTCTCTCTCTCTCTCACACACACACACAGTATTACTAAGAACAAACATAAGCCAGTTCATCATTCATACATGAAGTTTGGAAAAAGAATTGTGGGTTTAAACTTACATGGTATCATGATTAGATTTTTTTAAATTTGGTATGATCAATTTAAGTTTAGTTAATTTATTATGCATCCCCATACCCATCCTATGGGTGGTAGTGGGAAAGGTTACAGAGGCACATAATCGGTCAAAGGACTGAACCCCAAAATTCATTTAGCAGGAATTTAGGACATATTTAAGTCTTGATAAATTAATTACACAGTTTAATGCATTTATAATTATATAAACAATGGGTTCAAGAAAGACAACCATAAAGTTTCAAACCTAAGCTACATGTGCAGTGAGCTAGTTTCATAATTTAATTTGGTTATCATGGAAGCTGGTCTCCAACCAGTGAATGGTGGTGGGAAGATTATGATAACCTGTGTTTACTACCTATAGTTTACAAACTGGCAGATATTTACGTATTAGTAAAAGCCATAAATTCCGAGACATTACAGCAGTTTAAAATTGAGCTGGAAAATATGCTCAGGAATAATTGGAGGAGGGGGACATCACTTCTGACAAGCTGCCAACTTCCTGTTCCTTTTGAGGCCGCTACATAATATATATGGATTTATCCTGAGGTAGATTCAGATAATGAAGACAGTCTCTTGAGGTTTTACCATATTACTTCATTTCCTATTCCAAGAGCAAATTTTTGCTTGAAAGAAAACTCTGCATTGGAATGGGATTATTTATTATTAAAATTATTACTGTATTAATAATATTTACCATTATTAATTTCAGTTATTTATAGTTTAGCTACCATGCCCCTAGCAAGCGTACATTCTTCCCGTAACTCATTTGTGCAGTGTGAATTTGTTCCTTACGTAGACATTAATGTAGTCTTAATTAATTATGGATTAAATGATTTGCAGATGTTAACTAAGCTATGAATACTAAGGCTACTGCCTGAAGTAGAAGCCTAACACTTTGGGGGGTTCTGGCAGAGCACCCACCCGTAAAAAACTCAATTCATATTACAAGTCGTGTACACAGTAGGCAAGGCCAAAAGCATTGCAAAGTCCGAGCGGTGCATGAGTAATTGTATGCAATTAACCAGTTACCTGTACCCAAAGGTAGCACCCAGGAAGGGTGCCGAGTGTAACTAATTAATCTGGATACAGTGAGAAGGGAGTTATAATGCGGTAGTTAGGAAGGAAGTGGTACCTGGATGTGCCTGTGACAGCACCTCCGATTAAGTGTGCCAGTGTGAGCCTAGACGCAGCCAGTGTGAGCCAATACACAGCCCACTCTCCTCCAGGGAGGAGGGTGGGATGTGTGTTGTGGGGTCGGTGGATGGAGGCGAGAGGAGGTCGCGACCTCTGGTGACTGCCTAAGTACCCCTGCTTTGTTGCGTGCACATGCAAGCACAACTCATGAGGCAACTGTTTTCATCCATACAGAAACTTTTCCACTTTTCCAAGCAGAATCATTCCTAATAAGGCAACCCTTGAATTTGCATTTTACACACACACATATTTGACTGTGATTTCAGTTGGATACAATACCTATATTTACATGTTTCAAAATCCCGTAGGAAAGCTTTGGTGCTGCTGCTGAAACACCCACTGTACAATTGATTGGTAAAACCCAAAGGTACATCCAGGGAGGGCTTGGATGTTCATTACAACTGCCATCAACCCATTTTATGTCTGAGGTTAGTATTAACAACAAAATTAGTTAATGTAGAACAAATAATCTTAGTTTCATAATGTAAATTTCTATTTCTTGTATTGTCAGTGAAATTGCTTTTAATATTTATTTACATTATATCTGATTTTATCTAGCTTACTGTTATCTTTACTGTTTCCATGTTATACAGTGAAACATCCACTTGGACTATGTATTTGGTAGTTATGCCTCACTTCTTGCAGGGCTGGTATTTGATCCACGATGGTCAAATTGGTTGGCCACCTCTCTTTTATTCCAGCCTCATATCCCTTCCTAGTACTATACATTACCATATACCATACCTGTACTGGCTTGGAACTCTCTTTATTCATTATTACTCATTTTGTTGTCATATCCAAATTTCCTGGAATATAGAGGCATTCTGATACAGCTATGGCAAAAGTTTAACTTCTGCCTTGTAGATATTTCTACTGTACAGTAAAAGAATGTGGGATGTGCATAATAGGTCATTCCATACCATGGAGTAGACTCGCCTACTAGCTGTCACAATGTATAGCCTTGTGTATTTTATCCTATCCTCTCACTCAGGAACCTTCATACAGCATGCCAACTCTTTTCTGTGGAGCTATATAAGAATAAATTCAAAACATAGACATTTCCCAACAATATATTATGGAGATGAAACTCCTTTATATATATTGGAGGAGTTTGTCTCATAATACAGTTAGCTTCATTCCAGATTCACAACTGGGGAATCCTGGTTTCTGTCCAGATAGGACAGAAATGGTTTGACAGGTTTCCTTTCACCTAATGGCTCTGTTCACCTAGCAGCAAATATGTACCTGGGAGTTATGCAACTGTTGTTGGGGAAAGGTTGCATCCTGGGCAGGGTCAGTAGTTTGGCCTTAGAGGACCTCGATACAAGTGTAAAGTACATGAATGGGTAATATTTTAAAATGCCTTATTATTTAATTTGTTTTATTTGGGCTGATGTCTCCCCATTCCATAAAAGTTAAAATGGAGTAATGATAATAATGCTGCTGATGATTATTTACCCATTTAAATACACTTTCATGTGACATTATTACATATTAATCATTAGATTAGATACAAAATACTGTATAGTATAATAATTTAACTCATAAAAAAAGGCAGAAAACCACTTCTAGACATTTTAGGATCATACCTTCTGAACCTTATTTGTACTAAGTTCCTGGATCACTTAGTGCTTAGTTACCTATACATATGTAGGCTACCCTATGTACAGTATCACACTATTAGTGTGAATGTACCATATTTGAAGGCACAGCAGGCAAATCCTTATCAGTGATGTAATGCACGATGTCGACCTAAATGTCTGAGAAAGTTAGTGGTCATAAAGACACCTCAAATCTAATGCTATTTTTTATTATTATTATTATGCACAGCCTCTAGGCCTGACAGTTACAGATAAGCACATGTAGTTTGCTGTTATTTCTACCATTTCTACTCTTCTCTCCTTGTACAAATTTGTGCACCTTTTTTAAAATAATGTTGTTTTTTTCAGGATAAAAATGGAGAGCAAGATCAAAAAGATGGTCAAAGTTCAGATGATGTACTTATCTCCAGAGGCAATCAACAGCAACTTTTTGTCAAAGAATCTTTCCAGGATGATTCTGATGATAGCAGTGAAGGAGAACTAATCATTGTTGATGAAGATGATGATAAAAGTCTAAATGAAACAAGTGTGGATTCTGTTTCTGACATAGAAACAGCCATTGACATCCAAGATTGTAAACAGAAAACATTCTCGGGCAATCGTCGTCGGATTGGCACTCGTAATGAAGCCCAACAGAAGATGGAGGATGGAAAACAATGGCTCATTAATAATGTTGTGTTTATCAACACTGTTATTAGTGTGATCCCTCTGAGCTCAGTTGAGGAAGCCTACAAAGCATACTGCAATGAAACTGGGAAAGAACCCTTAGCGACGTCAGTACTTGCTCGTCTTATAAAAAGTTTATTCCCAAAGGCCATAAAGTGCCGTCTTGGATCGCGTGGAAATCAGCGAATTCATTACCGTAATTTAAAGATGAAGAAAGGTACAGTGCTGCTTTCGCAGCCATCTGATTGGATGTCAGAGACCATTAGAAAACCCAGTAGCACTTATGGAATGACTGGTTCAACTAGCAAGTCCACAAAAAGAGACTGTGTGGACATTATAAATGAGAAGAATTTAAACATATCAGAGCAGCAGGAAGTTCATTATAACAATTCCATTGAAGAGGAAGGAGGTAAGGCTCTGGAAGAGCAAGATAACTCTGTTGAAAGTGCTGACAAGCCACAGCTAAAAGTAAATGAGTTTGTTAAACAAGAAGAGAAAGTTTCTACATCTAAGATGCCTATTCAAAAGAATCCAACATCTCAGATGTCATCAGATGAAGAGGAAGATTGTGAAACTGCTGCCAAGAATCCAACATCTCAGATGTCATCGGATGAAGAGGAAGGTTGTGAAACTGCTGCCAAAAGGCTCTCACAGGTGTTGAAATGGATTTCTAACCAAGGCCGAAAGGATGTACTTCTGCGTGAATTTGCACACAGTGCATCATGCCAAAAAGTATCATGCACCCCTATGTGCCTGATGTTCCGCCGTGTTCGTCGCCACGTAGTAGCTGCTAGGCATTCATGTTCTGTGTTAATCTTATACTCATCCCTCTTGCGTATGCATGTGTCTTCATGTGTTAATGCTGATTGTGGGTTGCCTGCTTGTCCTGCACTGAGAGCTACCAGATCTGCTAAGCGTTCTCTTGGACAAAAAGAAAATCCATCAAAGAGAACAGCTGTATACACTACAAAATACAAAGTGGAGCCTTCAACAATATCATTAGCTCCACAATCTCCACCAACATCATTACCAGGATCACCTGTAAACTCCCCTCCAGCAAGCCCAGACCCACTCTCATATGGGGGGGAATCATGTTGGTCAACACAACCGGGTCAAGTACAATATGTGATTGTACCCGTTTTGCCAGTCATGGTGCCGTTCTCAAACAACCGTGGAGCCTAATCATATTTGCTGCATTCATAAATGTACCATGATTCGAACGTAATCAGTACTGTGATTAATCAGTTTACAAAATTTTTAAATCCATATCTAGTATTGTATTTTTTCTTATAAAGTGAAAGTTAAATTTATTTAAACATTAATAAATAAATTTATATTACAGCATCTTTTGCTTGAATCTAAATTTCAAGTCCTATCTTTAAATTTATTAGTACAGTACTGTACTAATATAATTTTTGCAGTGAAGAATTATTTCAGTTTATGGTTATTTTTGTTAAATCAGATTATATGCTCTTATAATACAGTATAATAAAAATTATTATACAGTATATCATTTTATTATTTCAGGAAGCTAATTATGTATATGAAGAGGAGAAAAGAGTAACAAATATTTAAGCATACATTTTAGAATTTCTAATACTGTATGTTAACTAGTTCAATCTTCCCTCTTCAGCAATTCAGCTCAAAACTTAAACAAGGGTGACTTGATTTGTTTTGCATTAAAATCTTCTTCATACATGATTATTCTTATTATAGAGGAGAATATGTTTCAGATTTTCTGTGCATATTTGGTCAATGTTTAAAAGTATAATGAGGAATTAAAAGGCTATTAGTAATTTAATTAATCTCTTGTATTTTAATTTATGAAAGTAAACCTATAATTTTATAAAATTTAGAAACAAAAAATTAAAATATGTTTAAAGGATTATGTTTTGCCTAATAAGTAGTGTTTGACAGTAAATATAAAGATATGTTATAACAACAACAAGAATGTAACAACTCTTGTATATATCTCAAAAACAAACTGTACATATTTCTGGATGTAACGTGAAAGCCTCAGATATGGAACTGAATAAATTTATTCAATTAAAGGAACATGTAAGTAACAATCTAAAGGTAAAACGAACAAAGAACCAATTTACAATTGCCCCTTGAGTTTATTTTCATAAAATGTTACACTATTAACAGTAAGGTTAAAATACTGTACAGTTGTTGGATGTGTGTTGCACCTTTACAGGTGTTTGAACCTTAAAAATATTCAGTATTTATAATTTGCTGTGTTACATGCAAGATTATAGGCAGATCCAGGACCAGGGGTGGAGAACCTGTGGCCTTTAAAGTCGCATTGCGCCATTTTATGGTACTTGATGCCACCCTCAAAAGCAATTTAAAATTCATGTGAAATACTATTTGTGTCATGAACACTAAGACTATAATACTATATAACTCATTTCAACACTTGCAAGGCTTTAATAGTCAAAGACCACACTAAAGTACTCTTCGATTAAGAAAATATTTTTCTTTTTTCTTTTTCTTTTTTTTCTATAATACAATGTATTTAAATGCAGAAGTAAGTTTTTTGGAGCTTTAGTTATATGCCACTGTAATATAAACTTTTACTGTAATTACTATACTCTAAAAATGCGGCCTTATGAAATCAATGTGGCCTTTGTGAAATCTTCGCTAAGTAAAATCTGGCTTGTGTATGAGAAAATGTTCCCCACCCCTGTCTTTAGACAATGTAACATATGTAAAACACAAAAAATTTTCTGAAAGAACATTTTCAGTTTTAAAAAATCAGTTTTGAGAGGGTTTAGGAAAATTATGAAATAAGACTTAATGCGCTCTTATAGTAAGAGAAACACATCTTAACATTGTGCTGTACTTCAAGTTAAACTTAATATACATTATGAAGTAGATACTAATAATTTCAGAAACATCACATACATAAATAGAAATATGTTAGTTTTCAAGATGACTATTGAGTTTGTAATATCTTTGTACGTATTTAATATATTCAGCATTTTGTATAATTCCTCTGTTATACAAATGAGTCTCCTTCATATGCATATCTCAGATCTGCAATAATCTCTAATCCACACGTTTTGGTCTTAACAAAAATCTAATTTGCAAACATAGCAGAGTTCACTCAACATTATCTTCAGTCCACTGTTATAGCCTGGCTTAATCGATGATACAGTATCACTACTGTACATTAATCATGAGCTGAGTGTAATCTGCACTGAAGCCACTAAGTGATTCCCTATCACATTGGTTCTCTCCACTCTCTCAGGCTCACTCACTTCCTCTCTCATTGGTGCACTCAATCTATCCCTCATTATCTTTCTCACTTCTTCACTGGCTCAATCACTCCCTTGCAGGACATAATTGGTCAATATTTTCATGCCAATTACCCAGTATTTCCAATCATTTGAGTTTCAATTAGCAAGAGTTTATGTACTGTAGTAGTAGGTAGGTAGTTTCAAGAGACTTTGGAGTTGCACTCTGGTTGTCGGTCTGGAGTGGCCTCTCCAGGGCACAAAGCGGGTAGGTTGATGCGGGGAAGAAGCTACCACCTGTGCAGCAGGTCCCCATCTCCACAGCGCCAATAGTCTCCAATACTGTAGTCCTACTGTATTACTGTATAAGATGACCAAACTACACACCGGAAGATGAGGAGTCAATGATGTTCTGGTCCGTCTTAGACCATTATCAAGTCACTTATGACAACCGACTTGATAATGGTCCAGGGACAGACCGAAATGTCGTCGTCTTCTCATCTTCTGGTGTGTGGTTATGTGACTCACTGTTTACTTACTGTATGTATAACATACATCATACAGTAATGCAATGTAGGCTCATGTGTTTTATTCTAAAATCTATATTCTAGAGTTTGTCATATTACAATTCAGTATCCTCTCAGTTTAAGGACTTCTTTCTTATTTAGTGACCGGTTTTGAGATCAGTACAGTATTTGGATTTTTATTTACTCAGTGTTCAGTAAAAGCAAATTATGGTTGCTATTGAATTTACCAAGCTCACCATTAGGTAAACAGGCAGCCATTACCAAATCTGTACCACAATCAGGTTTGTTGTGGTACAAATTTGCCCTTGCTAGTTCAGTGCTTTCCACAATACAGTACTGTCACGGGGAAACAGTGGGAATGTATCAGTGTATTTGTGGATTGACTGGGAATGTACAAGGGTTTTCCTGGAGTGATTGTGAGTGTTTTTCTGCAGAGAATGTTGGTGTGGGAATGTACCAGTAGTTCTCTGCAATTGTGGGAAGAAGGGACAAGTGTATGTCTGGGTTAGAGGAAGGAAAGGACAATTCTGGGTGCATGGAAGGGAGGAGGAAGAAGTGTGTCTGTTAGGGATGTGTCTAGGTGGGTGAGAGGGAAAGATGAGTGGGAGTTGTGTAATTTTCATTAAGGAAAACGTATTTTGGGGGCCTGAAAATTTCCCTTAAATATTACCGAAATTTAACAGCCAAAGATTTAGTGACCATCTGGATTTAGTGAGTCGGGTATAGCCCCATGTGGGGTCATTAATTGAGTAGTTACTGACTATCTTCTAAATTCAGGGATGCAATATCGAAAGTCTGCAAATTTGTGTATGTGCGTGTAAGGAAACTCAGATACTGAATGGTGGGTGGAAAATGGAATGCACTGAAGCTGTCAGAATTAATAACATTCACAACTTTATGCCAAAATATAATAGAAACTGTAATGTCAAAAGAGGTAATTATTGCCATAGGTATATATGGTTAGGAGGAAAGACTTGAAGAACTAGATCTCACACCCCGATAGTCACTGATAGGTAAGCACATTGGCTTCAGTTCCAAGCAGAGCATATTGAAGGGACTCATATGTAAACAGTATATTAGTCAAGGAAGCACAGTATATTATGCTCCTCAATATGATATCTTAAGTTTTAAGGCTTATTTTACTAATATATATATATATATATATATATATATATATATATATATATATATATATATATATATATATATATATATATATATATATATATATATATATATAATCCACAAATGCTATGGTATTTCAACCTGTCCTCAGAGAGAAGGTAAAATGGAGGTAATCACCTCAAAGCCACTATGTAATTAGTGCTATTATCTACTCACTACCCAGGTTTGGTTAGGTTAGATTTCATTTTTGGTTACATTAATATGGTATATTATTCTCAAACATGTGAAATATAAATTTAAAAAACGAGTTAAGCATACTCTATTTTAAATCAATTATTTATGATACAATAGAGGTACGACTTATGAATATTTTCTGCTTAGGTCAAAGGTTCACTTGCCAGTTTACAAGTAGAATATTAGTGGATCCATTATATGCACTCAGACTTTCACAGGTATCTAGATAACTATCCAGATGATGTGAGAATTGATTTGGTGTCTCATGGTAATTGCATTACCCTGAAAATGGGATATATATATATATATATATATATATATATATATATATATATATATATATATATATATATATATATATAATATATATATATATATATATATATATATATATATATATATATATATATATATATATATATATATATATATATATATATATATATATATATATATATATATATATATATATATATATATATATATGCAACAATGATCACAAAAACACTGATCCAAGTATGCGAAAAACTACATTTGAAAAATAGAGAATGCTTAACGCGTTTTCGGCTAATTCGTCTTTCATCAGAGCAAAATAGAATTTGGCTAATTCGCCTTCTACTTTGTTCTGATGAAGGTGAATTAGCTGAAACTGCATTAAGCATTCTGTATTTTTCGAATGTGTTTTTTTCTGCATATATTATATATATATATATATATATATATATATATATATGTCGTACCTAGTAGCCAGAACGCACTTCTCAGCCTACTATGCAAGGCCCGATTTGCCTAATAAGCCAAGTTTTCATGAATTAATGGTTTTTCAACTACCTAACCTACCTAACCTAACTTTATCGGCAACCTAACCTAACCTAACCTATAAAGATAGGTTAGGTTAGGTTAGGTAGGGTTGGTTAGGTTCGGTTATATGTCTACGTTAATTTTAACTTCAATAAAAAAAAATTGACCTCATACATAATGAAATGGGTAGCTTTATCATTTCTTAAGAAACAAATTAGAGAAAATATATTAATTTAGGAAAACTTGGCCTATTAGGCAAATCAGGCCTTGCATAGTAGGCCGAGAAGTGCGTTCTGGCTACTAGGTACGACATATATATATATATATATATATATATATAGATATATGTCGTACCTAGTAGCCAGAACACACTTCTCGGCCTACTTTGCAAGGCCCGATTTGCCTAATAAGCCAAGTTTTCCTGAATTAATATATTTTCTCAAAATTTTTTCTTATGAAATGATAAAGCTACCCATTTCATTATGTATGAGGTCAGTTTTTTCTATTCAAGTTAAAATTAACGTAGATATATGACCAAACCTAACCAACCCTACCTAACCTAACCTAACCTATCTTTATAGGTTAGGTTAGGTTAGGTAGCCGAAAAAGTTAGGTTAGGTAGGGTAGGTAGTCGAAAAACAATTCATGAAAACTTGGCTTATTAGGCAAATCGGGCCTTGCATAGTAGGCTGAGAAGTGCGTTCTGGCTATTAGGGACAACATATATATATATATATATATATATATATATATATATATATATATATATATATATATATATATACAGTATATATATATATATATATATATATATATATATATATATATATATATATATATATATATATATATATATATATATATATATATATATATATAT